TTTTTTTTTTTTTTTAAATCTCTTGCTTGAGTGCTGCTTGCTTCTAGATGAGCAGGTTATGGAGAGCTATGAAGAACACAAAGCAGTGTCTTTTGGCACAAAGATAGAATTGCAGTCAACAGTGTCTCGATATTACATATTTTCCCACTATGCATTTAATTTCTAACATAAATGCTGCGCATTAAAGCTTTCACATTTTAACTTGATATATTTAAATATGATACCTAAAGAGGTTAATATGCTCCCATATTTAGGGATAAGTGGAAATCAATTCAGTTTTATCCAAATTAAAGTGAATTTCATTTCAATCATTGAATGTTCTGTGATGAATACCAATAGACCAATCAAATTTCCATTAGCTGTGGAAGCAGTGTAAAACTGCACAAAGCATATGATTTATGATTTAATCTGCACCATCAGCAGGAGAAGTGAAAGGGTTGCTAAAACTGTCATCAAATAGTTAAGCTGGATAGTGTTATGGTAAGACCACACACCTTTGGAGCGGAAGTAGCAAGTTCGATTCCCTCCCAGTAAAGGTCCTGGCTAGGCCCCCCCATGCCAAACACCAAGCCCTGGAATGGTGCGGCTACGCCTGCAGCCTGTCCACAGCTCGGACACGACACATTTCACTGCATGTTGTACTCTGTGTGATCATGTATCTGACCAATAAAGCTCGTTTCTTTCTTAAATATTAACAAATGGTTGTGCTATATTGTAGTTTTCTATTAGTAGTAGTAGTAGTGTAGTATTCTATTATAGTGTATTGTGCTTTTATGTAATTGAATTTAAAAGCAAGGGTTAGAAATTAGCCACCGCTATAAACTCATGCTTCTGTGAGTTTCGTGCACCGTATTAGAACCATGTTAAACTCCATTTTTCCTTTTTAAGTAAGTTGAAATAGAAATCTTGATATTTTTGATGGTTTGATTCGATACTGATAATGATCGGCTAGAATAGGCTCCAACAACCGTGAACTGGATAAGTGGAAGAAGATTGATGGATGGATAGAGTATTAGGGTTTTTTTGTTTTTTTTTAAAGTGAAAATCATAATGGCTTTGACCCCTACAATTGTGTTTTTGTTGTTCTTTTCCTGCATTATGGGTGGTCTCCAGCTGAATACTCTGCGGGGTTCCATCCTGGAAGATGCTGTACCTTCGACGTCCAAGCATGGTCTAGGTCGAGGCCTGCCCCTCAAAGAAGTGCTGGAGTACCTCGTGCCTGAGCTCAATGTTCACTGCTTACGCCTGGCACTCAACACACCCAAGGTCACTGAGCAGCTGATGAAGCTGGACGAGCAGGGGGTAAGGAGATGCAGCGAGCACGTCTTGAGGTTTGATTGTGGGTTATGATGGGCCGGATGAATCTGCTTGATTAATTCCTTTGATTGAGCACATTTGATTACTGCTTTCCATTTAGTGAAAAGACAGTGTCATGCAGACATGGCATCCGCTGAATAGAGTGCGATCCTTTCGTGCATGCATTCGATTGGTCTTTGAGCCAAAGAACTTTTGCAGCTGGTAACCTGTACTATTGACTATGCAAAGCAAACGATTGTCATTTAGCATTTCATGAATTTTTTAGTGTGTGGGTGTTTTTCTGTGAAGGGGATGTCTCATTGTTGAACTGAATTCTTTTTATTTATTTTTGCTGTATCTCTTTATTTACTCCCACAGACCGTTATGTGGAATTTATCTGAAGAAACTGTTTGTATGCATGCTGTGTCAACGTGTGTCGATGCATGCACACACAACATAACCCTTTAAAAAAATTATATATATACTTAAAAGCTCTTTGATACTTATGCTTTCTGATGCAGTTATCAGAAGCTGAATCCTCTGAAAATGTCAACATGATTTCTTAGGAAAATGGCACAAAATCACTACAGAACAACCCAAGGTTATTCTTAAAATGTCAGCATGAGTCCTGCCTCAAATGTCAACATGGTTACTCTGACATGACTTCCACACAGTAATCTCCATTTGTTTCTCCCCTTTTCATTGGAATAATGTTTGTTCTCTCTGCAGCTGAGTTTTCAGCGAAAGGTGGGGGTGATGTACTGCATGGCGGGTCAGAGTAGCGAGGAGGAGATGTACAACAACGAAGCGGCTGGGCCTGCACTAGAGGAGTTCCTCCATCTGCTGGGCGAGAGGGTTCGTCTTAAAGGCTTCACCAAGTATCGAGCTCAGCTGGACACAAAGAGTATGTACATTTGCAAAAAACTTCGAGGTGCCAGTGAGGGTGTGAGGGAACCTTTATATTTGATTTTACGCTGACATTGATCCTGTCTAATCCAGCACAGCAGGTAGTAAATTAGTAAATTGGCATGCACTAAATAGACGTTCGCATTGATCAAAAAGTGCTGAGTTCAGTTGCCCAGCAAGTATTTGATGGATTGGAGCATGCAGGGGGTCGTCAGAGTCTTTTAGATAATGTGTATACACACATGGGTTCAGTGCCTCAACTTGCATTGCGATAATCACATTGGATCTCATTCACATGTTAAAGGACTGGTCAGTGACTCCCTGGTATCTTCTGATTGCTAGAGAAAAATGTATACTCTAACAGATAGAAGATGGCAACTTGCCTCCAAATACTTGCTAGCTGAGTGGTAGTAAAACTTGAAAAATGTGTGATCCAAACTGGAGAGGGGAAACAAAAAAGCACAACTTTAACTTTGGAGATGATCAGGCTTTGTTTCTGGTTGCACTTTTTTGACTACTGTTCAGAAAGTAGTTGACAAGCATTTGCCCTTGGTGTAGCACCGCATACCTTTTCTCATCCAACTTGGCCTAGGGGCTGTGGGCAACTTACCAACCAGTCAGGGAACAAACGATTTTATCTAGTGACGTGTGGTTGGTGGGGTTGAGGGGTTATTGACTGGTCAACATCTGAATGATTAGGGTTTTAGCAAATTATTTTATAGTTTGTCATCAATCTCCAGCAGATGCAAATGCTCCAGACTGTGTTTTTTCAGGAGGAGAGCTGAGTAAAACTGAAATCTGTCCAAATGTTTCTTACAGCCATAGATCGTGCAGTGATGGCTCAATAATAGATTTTCTTTGAGTACTGCACTAGTACTAAATACATTGTTTCTTATAAAATGTTTATTACACTTTTTATTAGGATGAAGGTATGTAATGTAAGAAATGAAATTAATTGTTGAGGTTGTAAGTTATTATAGCATTTAACTTGATTTCAGTTCCTTGCCCTTGGCACCTAAATTCCTTGCAGTTTTCAAAACATTTAATTATGAGCAGATGGAATACATGTTTTAAAATTTTCTGATCCTGCTCCCCCCGTTTTCATTCTTAAGTTTCCTCAGATGTTTCTTCAGACATTTGACAGATGGCCTTTAGTTTCAGATTACTGTATTTTCTTTTGGACACTGATATTGATCCTCTGTGGTTGTGCCCTTCTCCTTTGCCAGACCACCTGTGTTTGTTCCAAACAGAATTGATGTCCACTTTATTTTTGCTACCTCTGTGACATTTCCAAGCCTGTGTATGATATTATGTTATCCATATTATCCCTGCATGAACTAAGCCATTGCCCAATACCCTGTGAGACAAAAACTGCCCCAATCAATTTTTGCAGGATGTGTAATACAACCGTTAGTAGCCTCTAGCAAATTGAATACAGCCATGCAACGCCCTCCTTAATGAATGCGTGTAATTAATTGAGGTAATGTAGCTGGTTTAAGTGCGGCCTTTAAATACCTTGTGACTGTTTGACTCTCTAAATGGAAAACATCAACAGCCTGGCGGGGTAGTGCAGTGGCTCCCTGATTGTAAAGAGGTGAGCGTGTTTTAGGGCCATCTGAACAGCATATAGTAGAGACAAGCATGCGGGAAGAGAGTTTTGGGGTACTTGAACAAACCTGTCATGGTATATTTTCCTGAAGTATGAGACATTTACATGCAGTTTTCTCCTTCTCAGCTGACTCAACTGGCACCCACTCGTTGTATACTACTCACAAGGATTATGAGATCATGTTCCACGTATCCACCATGCTGCCCTACACACCCAACAATAAGCAACAGGTATGTTAATTTACAGGGCTCAGAGCTTGGATACACTAAAATACCTTTGGATCCACCAGCAAGGTGTGGCTTTTCATTAGAGAAAGTAGTAATCCATGCTATGCACATTTTTAGAGTTAACATGATCCTGTTCTTTGTGTATATAGATGTAGTGAAGGAGGACATGCGGAGGTTTGGTAAGACAGGAGGATGCTAGAGGATGGTGTCAGATAGAGGCAGATAATTCACTGTGGCAACCCTTAAAGGCCGAAACAACAGTGGCTCAAGTGTTGTTTTTTTCCTCTAGATGTCTAATTATGTTTTAACTTTAGCTTCTCTCTCTTTGAAAATGTTTTCCAGTTGCTGCGGAAGCGACATATTGGGAACGATATCGTCACGATTGTGTTCCAGGAACCCGGGGCGCTCCCCTTCACTCCTAAAAACATCCGCTCACACTTTCAGCACGTCTTTGTGATTGTGCGAGCACATCACCCTTGCTCCGAAAACACCTCCTACAGGTGAGATTCAAGAGTACACCAGAATAAACTGCGTGTAAATAAAATGCTGCATACTACTTTTCAAACTGTGCCCCATTTGAAGCCTAAACAGTGCAAAAATAACCAGTTTGATGCTGTAATTTAGACTTGGTCAAGTCAAAGAGAATCCAGTCAGTCTACTTGAATCTGGAGAGGTTACATCCAGACTGGCATTATTCAAAGTAATACAGTGTCAAAATGTGATAGTTAAGGAAGTTGAGTTCAAAAACTACACACTGAACTAAAAAATAAGGGCTGTAGAGGTCGGTTGGAACATTCCCTTCTATGTCTTTTCATTACATTAGAGGTTATATAAGGCCAGTGCTTTACCTGCCTTTTCAAAATGTCTGGAAAAATACTGCATTTGAGGACTTGCATGTGATTTATGATTCACTTTTCATCACAGCAAAAACAATAATGCTCCCATCCTTCTGCTCAGATTGTTGCACGGCTCTCGTTGCCTTTGCAGTTTCATCATGGAGTAGGCCGAGAGTGTTGAGAGCCCTCTCTACAACTCGCGATTTGTTTCCTCGCTGTGAGAGGGTGTAATATTAAATACAATGTACAAGTCTGAAATAACTTTTAAGAAATTATTTATATTCTGCCTTTGCAGTCTTTCGTGTTCGGCGCTGTTCAGATTTGAAGGGCATTTCATTTAGCTCATTCCTGGCTCTGTCTTTTTATCTCGTTTTCTGTCATTCTCTCTTATCTTGCTCTCTAGGACTCTGCCTCCCTCTTCCACTAATGGCTGTTTTAATTGCTGTCAGAGCACATTGTGTGAGGACTTAATTGTCCCCCATGGGGCTACTTCACTACTAAACAACAGCACCACACATACACAAACACATGTGAGCAAAGCAGCCAGTAATGAATTGAATAGAAGAAGAGCAAGTACTATTGACATGGGCCTTATGCGACTCACAAACGCAAGTTAAGTTTTCTGAAGTGAAAATGAGTTTTCTGCACACCATATAAAGGTGAACCATCAGCTTTCAAAAATAAATTATGATTCATAGTCACCACAGGAAATTGACTGAGTCATAAGATATTAAGCAAAGGTGACCTAAATGCTTTGAAGCTTTGGTTTGTTTTCTTAAGGTTTATGAAGACGGGGGCATACACACTTGGTATTGAACTACTTCACTGTTCTGTTCAATTTGTCATTTTGAAAGTGGGAAAATTCTGGGTTCACCTGGCCTTGCACCTGCTTTCAACCATTTAGAGATCAAAACATAACTATTCTGCTCGCTTAATGTCTGCTCTTAGTGGAAGTGTAAAATTTTTTTTTCTTTTGTTTGATATGAATAGAGCAAAGTACAATAAAATAGTGTGTAACCCCATTTAATTTAAACCAGGATGTGTTTTCTGTTCACTGCTCTAATGCTGCTAGTATCTTGTACAGTTAAATGTAATTGCCTGTTAATACAAAATAGGCTACGCTCAAATAATGATATTTTGATGGCTGCAACCCAAACTGAGTTTGTTATAAGACCTAGTGTATGAGCCAAAGGCATTAGAGTGCTGCCGAAAGCGATACTGTACGCGTAACTGAAAACTGATGGAGGATTTCCTTTAAAGGATTCTACTGGCATTTTCACTGTAATCAAGAAATTAGGTAATTTGAGTTCACTCTGTGAAAACAAATAATGCAGAAATCTACAGATGTCTTCAGGGCTGAAAGCCTCTGTAAAATACAGCTGCAGAGAAATGATGCGTCCTCACCAGAGACTGGAGAAGTGCGATACTTAAATGCTCGAGTAACAGTTTATTTTAAAGGTGTGAAAAATGGTCTCTTTCCTATACGGCTTAAGGTCAAGTGGGCACAAGTGTATTTACAGTACAGTGCAAAAATCTTGAACCACCTCTCGTTTTTTAAATATTTTGCTTCTAAGGAATACGACTTAAGGCACATAACTGATGGGGCTTGACCAGTATTATGTGTGCAAATAACATAAATCCTGATACTTGTTTTCACACCACAGTTTGAACGTGATCTGACGTTGCGAGTTTGAGCTAAAAACTTCCCGTAGCCACGTATGCTTTGCATTCTGGGATGCGGTAAGTTACTATAGATGTGTAACGGTCAGCATGGATGGGTGACTGCTCGTGTTCACCAATAGTCCAGAACAAAGCACCTTCTTCCTGTATTTACTTTTGTTGCTCCCGCCCCAGACACATCTGGCCAATGAGCAGACTGAATGTTTGTAATGGCGCATTTTGATTCGCCTGGTTTTCTGTCTTTGTTTTAAAAAAGAAAAAAAAGCAACTAAACGATTGGGGAAAAAGCTACAAGTTTACAAACTTTTTAACTAAGTCAGGCGCATATTTTTGTGCATGTTTCAATAAATTGCTGCACCTCTATCCAGTTTAGCTAGATAAATATAAAGAAATGAGGTGTGCCCCAAGACTTACAGTGTACTTTATATCTATGCAAAATGGTGTCTATGCCTTCAGAGATGTCTTTTTTGATGCTTCCATGAAAGAGTAGACACACAGTCCAAGAAATGGTCCCGTAGCCTCTGGTTCATATTGGATTGCCTTTGAAGAAGGCAGTTTCTCAAGTGCATCATCTTCTCCTGACAGATGTTGCACGCTCACTGAGGCTGTTGACATTCATGCCCCAGCTGGAGCCATGAGGCTGGCAGCCGTCAGATAGTTTCCTCTTAGATATTGTTTCCTCTCGTCTTTAGGTGGTGTTCCGTCGACACAATAAAATGATTCATTCCACAACTCACAGCTTTTGTTATCATCCTCACAGTCGAGCGTAAACTTTGATATGTCACACATGCAGGAGCTGCCTGAGTGGCTCTTCGATATGTTTCAGCACTCCATTTGGAAACTACTAGTGTCGTTACTTATTTCCTCTTCAATGGTAAATTCATCTGCACCTTAACAATGTTGTTCCTGCGTCAGCATAATGTTGCCATCCTGGACTGTTGGAAATTGCAGCTGACCAATCACATTGTGATGTAATAGCTTTGGAATGGGAAAAAAAAGGTTTTCATAAAACGGTTAGAATTTCTCAAAAAGGTTTTATCCCCACAAATTTGAATTCTTTTAAACTCTTTGCATGGCTCTTAGCTAAAAAGTCACTACATAAACAAAACCTCAAAACTTTTAGATAACAAAAATAGTCCATGCTTTGAATAATAGTTGCCTAAAGTAGACAAAAACATAATGTATACCTTCCCCATATCCACACTCTCACAATCTCGCACTCCATCAGGTATTGACATGTTCTTTTTCTTGGCCTGGCTCAGTGGGCAGCAGGTCGTAGATACTGGAAGAGCAGAACTGCCCACACATTGGATATTTATAAGACCACAAATCAGTGAAAGCCACAGGAATGTGCTCTTTCATTTCTTTTACCAAACCTCCTGCCATAAGGATCACACAGCAGCCTCACAGTGCAGCAATTCCCCAACACTCCTTTTCCTCTCTGTCTTCCTCACTCGCTTTTCTCGTTCCTTCTCCTTATCCCCCCCCCACATTCATTATTTCTTAATGCTCTTTCAGGCTTTTCCCCTTGCTTTCATACCTCTACCTACCTCTCTCCATCGCTTTTCTCTGTCCTGCATGAGTCACAGGTCTTTGGCTGACTGACTCACAGGTGTTTGAGATCAGTACAAGTGCTTTTAGAGCTCCAATATAATGCATTGAGTGATGCTGTAGTGATGGAGAAGAATGAGAATAAAAGGTCACATTTTATTGTAACCATTTGTTCTCCCATCGTATAATCACTTTAGCTACCCTTCTCTCAAATACCCGGCATGGTTCATTTGTTATCAACAGAAGCCCTGGCTAATAGAGCTATGCCGCTGCCAGTCTCTCATCAGATTTGATGTTATTATTTTTTATGCTAGTAACAGTTTTAATAAGGATGCTACAGGGCAAAATACTTTCATGTAATGTTACTTTATATCTCACTTAAACTCTTTACTGCTGCACTTTATGTTTATTTTAATCCTTCAATAGAGAGACATCAGAATTAGGAAGACTTCTAATTTTCCCTGGACACAATATATATTTTTTAAGATGTTATTTAAAAAAAACTTTAATTTAATTTAAATTAATGGAATTTTATTTCAAATTACATGTAATTAAATTTACCTACAAATACTTAAAGGTGTACACAGTAGAATGGGAGGTAACAAGTCGTATTATACAATAAGTGAATTTAAGTTGTCTGTAAATAAATGTAAGTATTTACATGTAACTAAGTTATTAGTTAGTTAGTATAGCATATTGCAGGAAAGGACACATAAATTATTTTGTAGGTAATTTAATGAAAGTCCATAAGTAAGTAACTACTTTGTAATTTCTTGGTAACTTTGTGGCAAAATGAATCGTATTTTCCCAGCTTACATTGCAAGTGCACTGTACTTTTTGGATTGTGTGCCGTGGACAGTATTATGAAGTGGCTAAACTTTCCCTAACTTCCAGGTATTTTACAGGGAAAGAGACACTGTGCACTTCTTTGAACAGTTTAAAACAGTGATTTTTAAAGGGTGCTGTGATTATAAGGTCACACGGGTTTGCAGATTTTAATGGTATTTATTTTTTTCTTTTAAGTTGGTAAAGGGGATAACATTTCTTATCATATTTATATTGGTAAAATAAAATAAAGCTTGAATAATAGAATATCCAACATACTTATTGACATAATGAATATTAAATAAAGATGTGAAAAAAGCAATATTAATCCACTCCATAATACGTGCGCTCCAAAAATTAAAACACATTTTCAACATTACCATGAAATTGAACACTACTTAAATTATTTACGCAACACTTTTATTTGCTTACAGTATAATTATTTTGCTCATTAATCCCTCTTTCTAATCTGCCTACCTTCAAAGTAGTTGTAGGTAAATATAATTACATTGTAATTTCAAATAAAATAATTTAAATTCCGTTTAATTACAGGGGAATTATGTCTTTAGTCAGAGCCATTTATTAGGTTTTTTTTTTGTTTTTTTAAATAAATGTGGAAAAAATCCCGTGATCATGTTAAACAAGTCAAGCTGTGAACTAACAGTGTGATGTAATTTTCCCTCCATTGTAAGGGTCATATTGAAAATATACACAGTTAAAAGAGTGAAAACTGCTAAACCGCTAACAGCAGAAGGGTCTTTGATGTTAACACATTTGCATGCCCTGACACCTACACATGTACACGCTACCTGCTTTCCTTCTCCTTGTTGTTTTCAGCACAAATGCCAGGAAGGAAATGGAGACAACTATTTTATTTATTTTTTTATTAATACCTGTATTGAATTAAAAACATGCTCTCTGTTGATGGGCAGGGTGTGGTTGACCTTCAAGTTAGATTAGAGAAGCTGTGACAACGTGGGCACGCTGGGTTGATGCGCTGATGGTGATCTCCTTTTTGGCACAGATTATATGTCTGCTAAAATATGTTGAATTATGTAGTAACATTTAATTATTTCTAATTCACTCTTTCTCATACGAGGGACTTTTCTCTTCTGCACTTGAGGCAGATAAAGGCCCCGTCCCTATTTGTAGAAAAATGGCACTAGAATTCCTGTGAGTATTCCCAGGATGCACTTGCCAGCCTTGCACAATAATAGCTTCTGTTCATTCTCAAAGGCAATTCTGTCTAGAAAACAATGCTTCTTCTCTTACCTCAGGACCCACCTTTCCATGTTGCAAACATGGGAGATGAGGTGTCAACGATATGATGGTTAGGTTAATTGAACACCCCATGTCACCAATGAAGATAGGGTGCCTCTGAGGTATGTTTAGAAAGATGTGGGTGGCACAGGTATCGCTAATTAGACAAAGCTATTAATCCTGGTGTCAGCATGTATGTTGACGCATGTCAGCGGGGAAGTGTGTGTGGGATGAGAGCTCCCATTTCTACAGCTACTCTTGTCAGCTGGCAATTATCACCTGTGATTGAGCACATTTGGTTATGAAGAGGTTGAGACGAGGACAGGTGGCCAGCGTGCAGCCACAGAGCTCTGTACACCGTTTAGAGAACTGTTTCACTCTCAGACATTTTAAAAATAGTTTTTTAAAACTTTCGCCAGTATGCAATAATTTCCTGATGTTTCCCCCGCACAGACCTCTTTTCTTCCTTTCTTAGCCACATATTCCTTTTGTGTCTCACAATGTGTTTTCTGTGGCTTTGGACAGCAGATGTAAAATAGCTGTCTCCCCTCATCCTCCACATCTTTCCTTGCTTTTCATGGCTGCTCAGCTGAGTTCCTGACATACCAGAGAGAGCAAGTATTCTCAGATGGCCATTGCAGGGACTTAATGAAAGGAGGGGGAAGGAGGTGTAGGGAAAAAACGCAATCACACAGCTCCTTGATTGAAATGAGGTTTTATTTACACCTTTGATGCAGGTTAGAGGCATTCGGTATTTCATAGGTGACTCGACAACCCGATAAGAAGTCACAAAATTCTATAAAAACTATAAAAATCATTTTAAAATGGCCTGTAAGGACACTAAAGTCTATCAATAATAAGAAACTAAACAAAAGGAATAAAAAATTATACATTTCTGCTTTTATAGCTTTACTCTAAATTTCTCCATTTCAACATCACAACAACAAATGAAAGAGAGATAGCTTTGTTGCAGTTTGTTGCTTTTAAATCTGATTAGTCTAAAATGGCAAAGAGTTCAAGCTTTTTGCGCGACAGATTGTTTTCATTTAAAGTAAAATAATCTGATGTCTGAATAAAACACAGACTCTAAATTGGCCCGGTTCTTGGCCTGGAGTTTTTTTTTTTATTTGTTCTTTTCTTCTCCCATTTTTATTTCTCTTCTTTCTTTTAATTTCTCTGCCTGGTCTCTTCCTGTCCATTGTAGTGTGGCCGTCACCCGCTCCAAAGATGTACCCTCTTTCGGCCCCCCTATCCCAGAGGGCGTGACGTTCCCCAAGTCATCGGTGTTCCGGGACTTCCTGCTGGCCAAGGTCATCAATGCGGAAAATGCTGCCCACAAATCACACAAGTTCCGAGCCATGGCCACACGAACGCGGCAGGAGTATCTGCGCGACCTGGCTGAGCGGCACACCACCAACACCCCGATTGACCCCTCTGGGAAGTTCCCTTTCATCTCGCTTGCCCACAAAAAGAAAGAGAAGACCCGGCCATATGAAGGGGCAGAGCTGCGCAGTCTTGGGGCGGTGACCTGGCCAGTCCATGCTGAGGATCATGGGAGTGGAGGAGAAATGGAGGCCCTGCTGGCCATTTCCAATGACTTTTTAATCCTGTTGGACCAGGAGGCCAAGGCTGTGGTGTTTAACTGTGCCACTAAGGATGTGATTGGCTGGACGCTTAGCAGCCCCGCGTCTTTGAAGATTTTCTACGAGCGGGGTGAAAGCGTGTCTCTGAGGAGTATCAGTAATAATACAGAAGACTTCAAAGAGGTGGTCAAACGTCTAGAGGTTAGAACACACACAAAATACAATACACATAAGAATGGTGCTTGTTGGTATAAACAACAGTCGATGGAGGGAGTTGCAGTCTGTGTTCTGGATCTTATTGAAATTAAAAATAACTTTTATTTTCATGAGTGACCTGGCCAAGAAGGAAGCTGACATCATTATTATTATAAATGATAGCTGAAAATATAATTAGGTTTTCAACCTTCCTCTCAGTGATAATGAACAAGTATTTGTTTGTTACCCTTTCACGATGAGTCATCCATTAACAATTTTTTCCGTCTTCTGCCCTCTGCTCTCATGCCCAAGAGCTACGTATTCTAAATTAAATTAGGTTAATTGGTTTATACGCCAAGAAAAACTGCGATTTGTTTTTCGAACGTCAAGACGAATATTGTTGTGTCCCTTTTGGACAACACCGCTCATGCTTGCAATGTTAACCGCGCTCTTTGTGTTTGTTAGAAGTCCTGAAGATGGCAGAATTATTTATTCATATTAATAGTAGAACTGTACAGAGAAACCAAACCAATGGGAAAAAAAACGCCGCTGGCTGCCATTGATCAGTTACCTGGCCCACTCACAGTCTCGCTTACTATTCAGTGTCGGCTGTCAGTCTGCCAGAATGACAACATTTCTGCATCCACATGCCAAAGCTGCTGTCTCATTACTGGTCTCTGCTTATTGAGGGAGTTTCAGAAACACCACTGGACAACATTCTCCTTAATGGCTCATACACCTACACATACAGTGAAGTGATGCTAGTTCGTCCTTAGCTGTTTCCATGGAAACTGGTCGGAGGAAAAAAAGGTGTTTTCTTATGTAATCATCAATGCTTTAGAATACATTCATTTCCTCAGCCTCTATCTGCCTTAAAACTGTGTGTGTGTGTTTGCATGCGAATATATGTGATGTTTCTGTAGCCTGGGTTGAATCTGACATCTTTGCACACATGCATACAAACATATTTGAACACTTGCACTTCGTTACTTGGCTTGGGACTCAGAAGTTGATCACATGTTGCATTTTATGCATCTGGCTTTAATCTTCAATCGCTTGGACTACCTCAGTGCCAGACCGTGGAAGGGAAGTGGCCTCGGGCCAGCTGCTTTTTGGAGCCCATCTCTTCTACTCTCCCTCCCTTTGTCTCCCTCTCTCTTTCTCCTATCCCCCTATTTTTTCTTCTTGTTGTTTTCTATTTTTCCTTCCCCTGCTCGCTTCCTCTCCCACACACACGTTCAGAAACGTCAGAGGGCAAAATAACAATTCCTGTCAGGTGCCAGTCTGCATCATGATTTATTCACACTTTCTTGTGAAGTTTGACTTCTGCAGAGCTTTTGCTAATACGCTGTTCAGATAGAGAACTGAGAGGCATCCTGAAGCCACCAGGCACATCAGCAGAAGGGCTGTGACTGACCACAACAGGATAAGTTTGTTGGGAATAAGGATTCGTATTACCACATATTTTATCAACTTATTAGTTGACCTTTAAAGTATTATGGGATCCAAACTCTTGTATTTTCACTTTTCCGTAACTGATTTTAATTCTTCACTGCCAAATGAAAACAGTGACCCAGAAGTTTACCCAGTTGTTCTCATACAGCAGGAGACAAACCTGCTTTTATTCTTGTTGTTTAATAAGTTTGTATATATGAATGCTTGTTTTTATTCATGCAAATAAACATCCTAAGGATCACGCAGGTTGTTTAAAACTGCTTCTTAAGTGGAAGTCCATTATTCGAGTATTTCAAATATCCTGCAAAGTTTTTTCCAAATAATGACTTATTTATGTTGAACCAAAATACACCCCGGGGGCTGTTTGGCTCTTCGCTTTAGCTTCTGTCCTCCAGTCGTCCCTGTCCTTTAATGGCTCACATCCACTTTGTGCACCTCTCTGCCCTTCTTTATATCCAGTTCCTGACTAAAGGCTGTGAGACATCAGAGATGACGCTTCGTCGAAATGGCCTGGGACAGCTCGGCTTCCACGTGAACTATGAAGGCATCGTAGCTGAGGTACTTGTCCTTTCACAATGGAAAATGTGTGTCTGAGAACTGTGAAGCGCATTCGGGGAGAACACTTGCTTATGCGCGGTTTGAGAAGCTCCTAATTTGTAGCCGTAAAATGTTTGCTGGTGATGAAGCAGCCCCAGGGAGATGATTTGCATCACAACATAGCAACTTGTTGTTGTCATGCAACAGATGTTTGCACACATTTCCTTTCTCAGACAACTTGAGGTTCAAATACACCTTTATTTTTAGTGACAATGAGTATTTTACCAAAGCGATGTTGTATAATTTAATAGTTTAATGTACACAGATGGCATTTCATACTGCTGGACAAGCACAAGTTGTTCAGTTTTTATGCTTTATTTAAAAAATAAATTCTTTAGTGTGATATATACGCTGTAATATACTGTGTAACCCGACGTGCACCCCCCCAGAAATCTAACTACACATGGAATTGATACAGCCCACAACTACTGTGACTGGCCTGTTCAGCATCATCGATTCCTCTTGTGCATTTCTGCTTACTTCTCCGATGCAGTTTTTTTTTTATGAGTGAAATAATAGCAATCATCACCTCATAATCATAGCATCAATATAATGATTCAGAAATAACAGCAATTTCCTGGAATGAGATTGCTGAAACTATTGGGATGGATATGAGGGAGTGTGCAAACAAAAAAAAAGAGAGAGAGAGAAAAAGTGGGTACCCACGAATGGAAAATAATCCCAGCATTCGATTTTTCTTTTCTGTCAGCTAAGACTGCATATAAAACACTGAGACATGAGCACACAGGCATAAATGCGGGCAACAATATCAAAGGATCTGCAGAGATTCCCCTGTGGAAGTCAAAATCAGGGATTACTGAAGATAAAGAAAATATTCTGGGATTTTTACTTTTTGTAACTTTATTTTTAGGTGGAGCCATACGGCTACGCTTGGCAGGCAGGACTGCGGCAGGGAAGTCGTTTGGTGGAAATCTGCAAGGTTGCTGTTGCATCTCTGACCCATGAGCAGATGATTGACCTCTTGCGGACTTCGGTGACAGTGCGCGTTGTTATCATCCCGCCACATGATGACGCCACTCCACGCAGGTAAGTGGAAAAGAAAATTATGTGTGTCATAGACTTTTCATAGAAGTTGCATGTAGCCACTGTGATGTCACATGTTGGTTTGTGGCAATGTCCAAACCTGAAACCTTGAGTTTGGTGTTTTGGCCCTCATATTTTGTGTCTTTGGAGCCAGAGGTGACCAATATTGTTGTCCTAAGTCCTGAATGTTATGCCAACCCTTTTCAATATGGGTTATGCAAAATGCAAGCCCTTCTTCCACACAGACACATGTGAACTAAACTTCTTTTCTCTCCCTCCACAGGGGCTGTTCAGAGCTCTATCGGGTGCCTGTGTCAGAGTACAAGGGCAGCAGCAGCGACAGCGGTTCCTTTGAGTACAAATTCCCCTTCCGCAGCAACAATAACAAGTGGCAGAGGACATCAAGCAGCCCTCAGCAATCGCTGACTGCCTCGCCACAGCCCCACACACCCAACCGAGCCATCAGCCTCGGTAGCTCAGTGGGAAAGACGCTGTCAGCCGAGAGGCTGGAGAGGGGTGGTGTCATCCCACGGAGCGTTAGCAGCGATGGACGACCTCTAGACACCAAGAGGTTAGAGCTTGTTGGCTCTTTAAGTATGTATGATTGGAAAACCGTATTATGTTGAAGGAGACTGGGAAAGGTTTACTAAAGAGAGAGCAAACTGGAAAATATGTGCTGCGAAAGCCAGAATCCTCCAGCTGTTTAACTGATCAGTTGTATTACAGTCCATATTTTCCTGGGTAATAGATTTTATTTATTTATTTATTTTTTAACCTTTGCTGAAAATAAACAAAACATTTTTACGTATAATGAGTGCTTCTGTGCTTTAGAAGTAGACTTTTTTCCCCACATTGATTGTTTGGGACAAAATAAAAATCCATCAAAATTTTCCTGAACTTTGAAAATTGAACTTTTATAGTCTTTTCGCTTAAAAAAACAAAAACCTTCATGTTTTCATGAGCAGATAAATTCTTACTGTTTCTCTGTGTTTCCTACACCAGGATGTCTCCAGGCAGTGAGAGCTATAGCCTGGCCTCATCTTTGGCGCTAGGCCGTTCCCCTCATAACCGCAGCTCTCCCAGCAACCTGTCCTGTTCCAGCGACGCCTCTGGGAGCTCTGTTCACTGGAGACAGAAGTCCATGCCTGAGCAGTAAGGAAGAATATGTGGTTATGGATGCGATTTATGGATAGTGACTGCATATTTTATGTACAAAAACCCCAAGTTTCTTCTCACTACAAAGTTTTATGCTGCCTTTAGGGATTTGTGATTTCATTCATCAATGATAGAAAGTCCACTGCGCTGTATGTGTACTCTGACATATGTTTAGGTATTTATCGCTTCTCTTCTGTAGATGTCATAAAATATGTCTTAAACCAACAAAAAGCAACAGGTTGATATACCGTTTTAAACAGACATTTAAGATGCATTTACATTTAAGAAGCTGATTTATGCATCGTTGTGACATAAACTATTTAAATTTTTTATATATATGTGTATATATATTCTTTGCTATATACAAAAAAGTTGGCTTGTAACAGTAACAGCATATGGCATTTAGGTCTTTGTCGCTGTTAATGCTCTTGACAGCCCCCCCCCCCCGCTTTTCAATTTCCAACCACTGTAGCCTGTGGGAAAATGTATTCTGTTTCAAACTCTGTTTTTCTATCATTCCTTCCCCTGTATTTTTAATCAGTAAAAACACATTTAAGTAACTTTAAAAAAGGGGGTTTAATTTGGTGCATGTGCGCTCGTTTCCTAGATTTGCAAGCAATCGCCACTCTCCTATGTCTGGGGAGAGACGAGAGGTGGCTGGAGAGAGCGGGTCAGGTGGAAAGTCCTCTTCCAGTTGGTCTAGGATGGATGAAGGGGGAGGAGCCGAACGCGGGTCAACAGGTATGTTGGGATTAAGTGCGCTGTAAAGTCTTGGCAAATTGTGGCGTATTTTAATACTATCAGTAGTGTAAACATAAAACGCAGCATAAATGTGAGCCTGTGGACGTGTTTTTATAGACATCAGGGCAGTTGGCTTTTCAGTTTTGAGGGCGGAGGAGGAGACAGCACTGGAAAGAAATCATCCATATTTATCTGTGGTGGTAAATTTCTTCCAAATGACAGGTATCTTGAAGAGTGTGTGAGTGGTGTTTGTGTGTGTGTGTGTGCGCCTCCTCATCTACCTCGTCTGCCGGTGACATTTTTTCTTCTTCTTTGCGGCAGCAGCTTTTTCATAGAGATAAAAACTCTGACAGCAGCCACAGCGCTTCCCTTCCACTCCCCCCTCACTTCACTCCTCTTCCACCTCCTTCGCCTCTGCAAGCTGTGAATTATATTGCCTTCGCTGAGAAGGTCTTAATGTCTCTGCCAACAAAATGGTGGAAATGTAATGAGACAAATGGCGAAGGAAGGGGAGAATTATTGAATAGGGATCAGAAAGGTGTTCAAACGGTGACAATGGGTACAATAAGTGGCTTTTTGTTTGTCACTTTCCTTTCTGTTCTATACGACTTAATAAGAAGAGAAA